AGAAAAAAATTTTAAATGCACATTTTAATTGCATATTATGGGGTTTTTTAGTGCATAAGTGCTTGCATATTTAGAGCTTTTTTAGAGCTGTACAAGTCCTTTGCCATACTAATAATGATCGAAAATCGCATATGCCTATAAATAGTTCAACTTAAGTCGAAATTTTTTAAAAATTGTATGGTGGATAGAATATACTGATATAAAACATTYGGTGAAATTTTCATGTATCTATGTATGGTCATTTGTTTTAATGTTACATCAAAACCACCATATCTTATAAACCCATTACCATGGACCTTTTATCCTTAGTAAACAAAGTTAAATATAACTCAAAGCTATAGGTACCCATACAAATTTTTATTGTAATACGTCAAATTTTTCAGAAAAATTATCTACTGAATAATTTACTTGTGAAAATGGGAGTTCTTAATTTAAAAAAAGAAATTTGTATCCCCGCAATAATAATAATAACACATATCTACATATTTACATAATATATTTATTAACAACATCGCATCTTGTTACTTAAACTTAAAAACTAGTTCTTAATATTTTATTACATTTCTCTTAGGCATTACTTGATAAGTACCTGATGATTGTTTTAAGTAAAAACTTGTGCAAGGATTAGGGTGGTCTCAATTAGGTAATTTACAATACCGATTTACTTTAATATAGAAGATAAATAACATAAAGGACTGAGTGGACTGACAAAAAGTTAGATAGTACATTTATTATATTTAGTAGACCGTTGCATAAAATGTTATATAAATATTTTTTAAATTTCATATTTAAATCTAAATTTATTTCGTATGATTTTATTATTATTTGTTTTAATAACAATAGCRTCAATAACACAGACTACCTATCAAATTGATAATTTTTAATCCAAGTTTGCTGTCCTAGAGTTATACACGACAATTGGCCCTYCGGGAACTTTCCTCAAATCTTGGTAGCCGGTTGGCCAATCCGCCGCTCAGCAGTAAACATGACATATACTTACATAAGTAATTAGTAAGTCATTTATATTTTACTAATTATACATATTATAAATTGAATCTTAATTCTGTAACAGTTGATGGATGATATACTTTTATCATTCAGGAACTAGGGAAAGGCTTTTAAAACTTTATTTTCAAGCTTCGAGGAAAAATAAAATAATATTTATGACAAATGTCATGCATTAACTTTATGCCACAATAAATAAAAGCAAATGAACAAGTAATATAATTAAATAATATATACGTTTAAATTAAAATAGGTAATAAAAATAAACTTGTTTTTAACACTAGGGTCAAATGGGGTAATTGTAAATCGGGGCATTTGTAAATAATAATCATAAGAAATTAACCAATCATTTTTRATGTATTTCATATTAATAACATGAAGGTATGAACGTCAAAGTATAATATTT